AAAGGTACATTTGAGAATGTTGAATTCACCAAACCATGGAAGCGAGTTTTTCTAAACTCGCGGTGTCCCATCCACTCGCGCCAACCCTTCACGGTTAGGCTTCCGCGCGGTGCATCCGGACAATTAACCATGGACTCTCTATTGACTAACCCATATCTCGAACTAGAGCCATGGTTAAGTTGCAAACTCATTGCATCATGATGTGTCTACTTGATTAATTGCGCATTATTGGCTGGGCATTCCCTATGTATTTTTCCTAACCGTTTGTTTGACTTGTGTTAAGATTAAATAAATTAATTCATGACTAAAAGAACTTTGCCTAATTAATTAATTAATTAATTAATTTGAGTAAATAAAGTATATTTTTTAATCAGAATTGACTTAGTACGACTTTAGGCATACCCCTGTAGAGTAATAATACTGAAAACAGTTTCAGATCGACGCTTCAGCAATGGCGCCAAAATTTGAACTGTAGCGCCACTCTGTGGAGTGTAGCGCCTGGCGACAATCCTGTTGTCCGGCGCTACACTGCAAAGAGAGGCGCCAGTACTGTCGTTTTAACGATAGTTTGGTTTATTGCTCGAGTCATCACCTTGTGTCTAATTAAACAGTTTGCTAATCAATTCGGTTAATTTTTACTAGTAATTATATCTTGCTAAGTCATTAATTGAGTCTAGGCACTAAGTCCCATGGTCTTACACAAAATTCAAAGCATGTCACTTACACTCACCACATAAAGCACACACTAATACACACTTTTGACCATGTCTAAGGGAGTCTTGTATGCGCATTTTTTTTTTGTCATTTTTTTTAGGGGGTAAGTCGGATATTAATCCTTCAATTAAATCAACTTGTTTAAACCCTATACTTAGTTGCCGAAAATATATACCTTATTTTTGCCAAAAATATGCACCTATTTTTTTTTTTTTTTTACTTTTCCTCTTGTAAACCGTAAAGTCAAGGTCAATTTGAGTCAAATAATTAAAAGAAAAAATGGTTTAATTTAAAGCGCGTGGTCAAGAAAGGAAGGGCGTTTAATCAAAGACAATCTTTTTGTACAAGTCCAACTTTTCGACAAATCCATCGCTCGTAAGAGGAAAGCTAGGACAATAATGGCAACTCAAGAAGAAGTCAATGAGCTCAGGAGCCAACTAGTTACCGTGACTGAGGCGTTAAAGGTTCTAACCCTCAAGATTGATGATCCTATGAAGCAACAACAAATGGAGCTCATGAAAGAGAGCTTGAGCAAGCTATCTAGTGACTACAAATTCCAAGGCATTAGTTCACAAGGGGTCTCGATGGACAAGGAACTTCTTCCGCATAAGTTCAATACCACTGACATCCCTAAATTCAAGGCAACAGATAATCCTTACCTTCACTTAAGGGCCTTTGAAATGATAATGAACATTAAGGGGATTGATAAGAAAGTCTTTCATTCCTTGTTTTCTTTATCTCTTGAAAACATTTGCCAGCAATGGTTCTTCTCCCTTAACAAAGATAAAACCTTTACTTGGGATGCTATTGTAAACTCTTTTATTAATAGATATAAGTGTAATATTCAAGTTGAAACCGATTATAGACAGCTCGAGGTGCTAAGACAAAAAGAGAATGAAGGATTTACTTCTTTCTTCAATAAGTGGAGGGAAACTTCCGCTAAAATGATTGAGGTGCCCACCGAAAAAGAGTTTGTGAGAATGTTTATCAAGAACTTACAAGAAAAGTTTTCAAAGCACTTAAAATATCAACACAACTTGAATACTTTCAAGGCCGTTTATGACATCGAAATCGAGATTGAAGACGACCTCGCAAAGCAAAAAGCTACTAACAATAGTAACCACGGTGGCTGGAAAGGAAAGAAGAACGACAATCCTTCTTCTTCCGAAAACGCCCACTCTAGTAACAATGTTATTACCTTTGATCTCAGTGAAGTTTTAGCCATGGATAACCAAGGATATAAGAAGCAACTAAGGAAAGACTTAACCCCCATTGGGATGAGCTACGATACTGCCTTCGATCGACTCCATGCTAAAGGACTCATTACTCCCAATGGACCTATTCAAGATCCCGCACCTGAAAAGAGATTTCCTAACTGGATCCCCAATGCACATAGCAAGTATCACCAAGGTAGGGGTCATCTTACCGAGAACTGTTGGAAGCTTAAAGAAGCTATCCAAGACTTAATCGACAATAACAAGCTACCATTGCCCCCTGTCAGTAAGAAGCCAAGTATTGATAATGCGCTTCTCGCTCACTCCTTGGCCATCTCTGATGAGGAAAACGAGGTTGATCCCTCATCTCTCATCAAACCTGTCAACGAAATCCATGCTATCGAAGAAGAGGAGGAGATCTTTTTCGACGCCATGGATAACCTTTTAGAATTAGCAAGTAAAGAGGACATACAATTGCTTACACTGTCTATGATGGAAGGATCACACTTGCTACGTGAAGCCCTCGAAGTTGTAAAAGAGCTTCAGAAGAAGTATGACGAGGTTCCACCCTCGAAAAATAAACCTAGGAAAGAGTTCACACCCATGGGAACGACTTATGATGCGAAACACTTTCCTTTACAAGTAATCGATAAACCCAAGAAGAGTAATAGACTCTACACTCCAATTGGGATCCCATATGCATAAATGTTCAAAATGCTCTCCGAGAGTGGCGAGATCAAACCTCTCGAACCAAGACCATTTGAATCATTAAAAAGGACAGATAGATTTTATTGTCAATATCATCAATCAGGGGGTCACACTATTGAAAACTGTTTTAAATTTAAGGATTTAATTCAGAAAATGATTGATGATAAGAAGCTAATCCAAGTTCCACAAGAAGAAGATGCAAATATTAATGGAGTTTGGGACAGCGACGAAGAAGACATTTATTTGAAAGACATTGTAGGACCTCCACCTTCGGTGTCATATGCCATGGATGACTTTTGTGTTGAAGAAGATTCATCAATAGACGTCCTCACAATATCCGGGAGAATGCAACCTCCTAATTCGACACAACCCATGCCAACCACATAGCAAGTTCCCATACCTATCATAGAAGATAATGACATTGTCAAACAGTTCAAGAAAACCAAGGTTGAAATGAACGTATGGAAGCTTCTGGCAACGTCTCGAGAACATAGGTTGGCCGTAATGAATGCCTTGGATAAGATAGAGATAGATTTTAACACCACTCCTGAGGGGTTGGCTAATTTCCTCACGAGTGATCTCCCTAGTCCTATCAACTTGATCACCTTTTCTCTTTTTAGAACTAAATTGGGTATGATTTAGTATCTTTTTATACAAGTTTACATGCATAATCAAGAAAATATAATCTGAATTAGTCTTGTATTTATACATCATAATTCTATTATATTATAAAACATTTCATTATAATATGCATATATATTTGTTACTCACTTTTTATCATACAAGTATATAACATGGACCCATTGTTTATTTTATTAGGTGGAAGTTATAATTAGGCAGCAAGAAAACAAGAAGCCCATTTTAAGCTTTTCCACGCAGCATCAACAAATTGGGTTGAAAACCCACTAACTCTAAAGTACTCCCAAAAGAAGAGAAGCGGCAGCAAGAGGAGAACAAAAAGAAAAACCCTTAAAAATATACCACTGTACTTTAGGAGACGAGGCAGCAGAGGAGTGGGATATATACGGACGAAGACGAGAAGACGGAGGAGGCAAACAGCAGCCCGAGATTAAGGACGGAGCCGCAGCACCTCGCGAGAGCCGTGACTAGACCGAGCTTGGAGCAGCATTATTTCTTCCCTTAATTTTATGCAATTGACTGGTTTTTGCTTGATTTGATATGTTTAATATTGACTCTTCATTGATTAGTTGTGTTCTCTTGATTTCCATGTCTAGGTTAGGGATGTAGTCCTTTATTTTCTATCAATGAATTGAATTATATTGTTTGGGCTTGATTTATATGAATGCAATTTGATAATCTTGTTTTAATTCATACTTTTAATGTGGCCAATTGATTGTATTGATTTATTAGCGGAAGTGAACTTTCAATACTAATTCGTGGGATTATCAAACGTCAAGTAGTATAATTTTAGGAATAGTTATATACTTAGGGTGGTCTTATTGAATTTTCTATTCTTAATGAGTTTATTTCAATTGTTGTGATTACGGAAGTAGACATGAGATTGATTTAAATATACGTTTTCTACCTTGGAAGAGGAGATAACATACTTTTGGTAATTTGATCATTGTTTAATTAGTTTAATTTCATTATAGAGAGTAATTGGCGAAACCCAAAACCTAGAACTACTTCTCATTCTTGTCTATCGTTTTATTAGTTTGCAACCTTAATCGTTTATAGTTTAGTACTACTTTTCCCATATTTTCGTCGTCAAATAATATTTTAATTTCTTAAATTGGTACTTAAGTAGACCTCCTTGTGGATACGATACCTTGCTCACCCTATATTTACTGTAATTGACCCGTACACTTACGGTAGATTTAGACCCGACCAGGGCGGGGGCCTAGTTGCTGCCGGTGGTGAAGTGGGAGGAGGGTTAGCGCGTTGTGGGTTGATATTGTGCTTGTTTGCTGCCTGTGGTGAAGTTAATGTTCCTTAGCCATTTAAGTTGATGCTTTGACCTTACTAACAATGGCAAATAAGAGTTAATGCCATGAATAATGCTTCTAGAGAAAGAAAGGAGGAGAGAGAATGAAATTGAAAAGGGTTAAATTGGGGTTAATTTGAAAATTAGAGAAAAATTGTGGAAAAAAAAACAAATTTTGGTGAAATTAATGAGTCAAGTGCCATGCACGTGACGGTCATGCCGGAATCCAGCGTTGACTTGCCTGAAAATCGGCCTTGGTCCCCCTCAACAAGTCAAATTGCCTTTTGTGATCCTTTTAAACAACTTTTTTCTTAATAGGTCATTCTTAACAAAAGAGACCACTTAAGTGGTCCTTTTGAACAAATTTTCCTAATATTTTATCATCCATAAATTAGACTTTATACGAATTAGACACGGAATAAGAAAAGTAATATGTATTCATATTCCTTTTTTGAGTGTTAAAAAGGAAATAAACAATATTGAAGAAACAAGAGGCGGGCAAGTTTGTCAAAAAAAAAAAAAAAAAAAAAAAAAAAAAAAAGGCTGGCAAGTGGTCACTGCACCATCAGAACATTCACTAGCTAGCTAGCTGGTTCATTAGTTCCTGCTTGCTCAGTATGGGTTCGCCAGTAATGAACGCGTCCTTGCCCTTGAGGTGATCTTATGTAACGTAGCCGCCTCTCCTTCGAAAGTATCTCTGCTAACCTACATTGGTCACATATATCACATGTCAAGTATTGCTCATATAAGCTTTACTTCTTTGGACATTTCTTATTTGCGAGTTCCTCATAATAAAAATGATCGAAATGTATGCAAACGATGTAAATTACTGACCTCTGGAGTATTTCTTCATTTGTATGTTGACTGGTTGGCTCACAGAAACCAGTGGCTAAATTAACCTTTGAAATTGGTTTTTTAAGCAATTCTTCACCAATGCTTACTAGATTGACCAAGTTTTCCTCCGTTGAAATATCAACCGATGCTAAATCTCCGGTTAATGTATCATCCTACATGCAATTCATATCAATTCCATACAACTTAAAAAAATAATAATGTAAGCAAATTTATGTATGTATAATTTCATTTATAGTTTAACAAAATCTTGCTCTTTTTAATACTTTAATTCTTCAATTCACAACTACATTAAAAAATCAAAATTTTTTACTTAAAACATGAGAGGTTAATATATTAAAATCTAAAATCATTGGAATTAAGAGTTTATAACAATTGATTAGAATCAGAGACAAACATACATGCATTATAAATCGACTTGAATTAGTTAGTTATATACGTACATTAATATACAATTACACATGTGATGTACGAATTCAATAAACGTAGATAGTAGTATAAGTCTAGCTCTCTTTTATCGTTTCCAAACGTAGCTACATTTCAAAAATGAAGATAAATGTAACAAGTAATTTTAAACCATTGACAATATGAGACATACATGCTTCTTCTACTTACTATTTATTGCAACACGCCAACACTTCATGTCTTTATTATCACTTCACGTTTATTAATGCATATATTCAATTACGTAAACCTCTAATAATAAACACGGATAAAAATCTTACGACTATATATATATCATAAAAGAGTACCAAAGTAGAATATGTGATTAAAGCAAAAATCAAACAGTTGCAACTAAATATAAACATTGGAAGTATATAGTACCTGGATTCTAATGTAATTTTTGTCACTATGAAGGGCCTTAAAAACAGTGGAAAGATGAAAATCCACCATATCAGCACTAGCTTGCATGAACACATCGATCAAAGGAGAGGATCCACCGCAGGTAAGCCACCCTAAGACACCCCAATTTGCTGCAGTTTCTGCATCATACTTCTCTTCACATTTGGTTGTTCCTGTACCTAAGGACAGTACTAGATATCTATGATAATCTGATGGTTTTATAGGAAAGAAATCCGGGCTTCCACTATGTATCTCATTAGATACTTCATTTATCGCGGCCAATGCCTAAAATATAAATTAAACAAAAATGATCGATAAATGTAGCCTTGACGATGGAGTAATACATATAGAAATTGTATGATAAATTACCGGATTGTTGGCAGCTACACCACCATCGATAAGGTTGAATTCTCGGACTTCTCCATTCGGTCCTTGGGTGTGGAAGTGATGGGGTGGGAGGTAAGTTGGTGCAGCTGAAGTTCCTATGCATATATCCGAGAGTAAGGCATCTAGACTTGGCGTCCTTTTTACCTGATCATCATTCGTATTGTATTAGTCACTTAGTTTCACACAATTTATAGATATTTGCATACAAATAATAATGTTACATGTATGTCTGTGCACCATATGTACCAGATAGGTATAACCAAGCATAGCTTGGTCTAATGGTCAAGTTTGTATCTCACAACCAAGAGGTTTTTGGTTGTGGGATCAAACCCCACTAGAGACACTTTGGAGGTGGGGATTCCCTTATCCTTTCTCCTCGCTTCCAAAGTATCTAATCCGCTAACTCGGGTCAAGAGGACCTGTGAGAGGTTCCGATCCGAATGTTACATGTATGTTTGTGCACCATATGTACTGGATAGGTATAACCAAGCACAGTTTTGTTTAGTGGTCGAGTTTATATCTCACAACCAAGAGGTTTTTGGTTGTGGGATCAAACCGCACTAGAGACACTTTGGAGGTGGGATTCCATTATCCTTTCCCCTCACTTCCATAGTGTTTAGCCCGCTAACCCGGGTCAGGAGGACCTGTGAGAGGTTCCGACCCGGTAGGACCCTTCTCCTTACCAACCACAAAAATAAAAAAATAATAAAAATGTACCCCCTCTCTCTCTCTCTCTCTCTCTCTCTCTCTCTCTCTCTCTCTCTCTCTCTCTCTCTCTCTCTCTCTCTCTCTCTCTCTCTCTCTCTCTCTCTCTCTCTCTCTCTCTCTCTCTCTCTCTCTCTCTCTCTCTCTCTCTCTCTCTATATATATATATATATATATATATATATATATATCTCCATCCATCCCTTAATTAGATTCTTAATTTTCTCTGTTATGTAATGAATAAATACTAGAAATAAGAATCTAATAAAAGGACAAAGGGAGTACCAGATAGGTATATAGTGTCTATTCATTTGGACTCAATAATAAGGTATGTCTCAATCAGAATCCTTATAATAGTGGGAGCAAATAACTAATTGTGCTATCAATATAATAATAATACTTAAGAGTTAGAGAGTTAATTTAGATTAGTATAAATTAGGTGGAGTAAACTGTAAACAAATTAATGGCTAGATATAATTTGATACCTCATAGCTGGAGAAGACAATCGGCTGCATTTGCTTAATGTCAAATGTTGGGACAACAATGTTAGTTAAAGTCTGATGTAGCTTTGTATTTCCCAACTTCTCCTTGGCAATTTCATGTAAATACTTCCCATCGTATTTGGGTCCTTCCAGCGACTTCATTATATCCCTTGCATGACCAAAGATAGACCTACAAAACATATATTGATCTAAAACTCATATATTTTGTATTTGTGCTGTTTATATTTTTGTATGTTCAAATTATTAATTTATATTTATTTTTATTTTTATGAGTTTGGTGCATGCAAACCAATTAAAAAAAAAACCCCTTTTTACTTAACAATCTATCTATCCTCTATAAAAATAATACAGAAGCTATAAATCTATAAGAATTAGATTTTCATACTCTGTATATACTTCTTTATTTATAATCATGACGAATTAATACCATTTGTTTGGGTCCAATTTAGTCAAAATTGGGCCTAAGCACTAAATGATCCAATTAAAAGCCCAAGGTCAAGGTTCAACTCTCCAATTGTGCAAAAGTCAAAGGTCAGCCCACAAAGCAAGCCAATTGGGCTAAGGCCCAACCTCTCCATGTATGATGAGGTATAAAAAGCCATCATATTGACACATTCACATATTCACGTTCATATTCATATTCTGATTCATATGCTCATTTATATATTCGGATATATTCCATAAAAGCCTCAAGCTACAAACTCTCTTGCATAGTGTCTTCCTTTTACACATTGTACTGACTTTAGCATCGGAGGGGCCTTCCTCGGCAACACCCCCGAGGCTAGTTTACGTGTGTTTACTGTGCAGGAAACCTTCGGCCCAACATAACTTGGACCGAATCCAGTCTTCTCCATTTCAGCGGACCTTCGGCAAGGTCCCATTGTTTTCACCCGAAACAATTTGGCGCCGTCTGTGGGGAAGACTTTCAAAAATCTTTAAGCCAAATTCCTAACCAAGATCATCTTGCAATTATCTTAGCAGCCATGGCTAAGAACCGCAAGAGCAAAAGCCTCCGTCAAGGAGCGGGCGAAAAGCCTAAAACCGGAACTCTCCCAAGGGTGCCGGCTCGGGGGGAGGATCATACAAGGAGGATTCCCTATCTCCCGTAATGCATGACTCTCAATATAGGCCGGACCACTCTCGGTCTAGCAGGGGTCAGTCTGATCATAGGACATATTCAGTGTCCCAAAGCCAACCGTCGGCTGCGCGGCCTCATTCCCACACTCGGCCGAGGACCCCTTTGTCGGGGCCCAGTTCGGAAGAGGTGGCAAGAGCGCTGGCAGTACTCATGGAGGCAATGAGGGCACAAAATATGCCACCGCCTCGTGATCGAACTCCTCCGCATACCCGGCATCAGCGGAGGAAGTTAGACCATGACGGTGGGAAGCTTCCTTCCTTCCGGGAACTGGAAGAGTGGGAGGAGGATTCTTGGAAAAATGAAAAACAGAGGAAAAAGAACCCTCAATTATTAAAAGGATCCTCATCCTCAAGACCAGAAGCGCATAAGAGCAGCAGCTCAGCTTCTCGGCCAGAATCTACTCACCGAGAACCTGAGACTGTTCGCAGAAGCGTCCTTGACCGACTCGGCGGCCAGGAACCGAGCGTGCGTAGTCGCCTCTCGTTCCCTGCAGCCGAGGCCCAGACTTCCCAGCCAGGGACGAAAACCACTCCTACCTCTCTAAGAGGGCGGAGCGCGGTCCCTTCGGCCAGGAACAAGGGCAAGGCCGTTATGCTACCCGCTAGTTCACCATTCGAGCAATGGATACTGGAAGAGCGCGTACCCACGGTTAAAATACCGTCGCATATCACATATGACGGGACCACGGATCCGAAGGACCACGTGGCCTCGTATGAGACTCATATGCATCTTTGCCCCAGATCCGAGGCGACTTGGTGCAAATATTTCCCAACCACTCTCAAGGGGGTCGCGCAAGCGTGGATCTCCAAGGGAGTAAGGCAAGGCTCCATAACAGGTTGGGATGATCTGTCCTCCAAGTTCAGGAGCAAGTTTTCCACGGCAAACCGCCGAGAGAAGACTACCGCAGAGCTCATGAGTCTGCAACAGGGGGAAACCGAAAGCCTCCGAGACTACCTGACCCGTTTCAGTAACGAGTCATCAAGCGTCTCCCAGCTGGACCAGGGGTTAGCTGTTTTTGCAATGCAGAATGGCCTTCAGCCAGGAAAGTTCCTAGACTTCATGGTCATGCATACCCCGCAGACCTTGGAGGAAGCTCTTAGTGCTTCGGATAAGTTCATCCGAGCCGAAGAATGGAATAAAGCAAAAACCCAACCTCAATCCGGGGGAGGGAAACAGAGGCAAATACCCTTGTCTGAAGGCCAAGGTCATAAGGCAAAGGGAAAATCAAAGGCTCCGGAGCCATCTTTGGCCAACGACCCAAAGAAGGACAGATTTGCCTCATACACAGGCAGATACGAGTCCTACACTCCGCTCTCTCTTCCACGCGCCAAAATTTACAGTGTGACGAAGGAAGAGCAGAGTTACCGAAAGCCGCGACCACTCCCAGAGTGGTATCAGCGAAAAAATAAAATCAGTGGTGTGAGTTCCACGAGTCTTCGGGCCACAACACTGAGGAGTGTATCCAACTGAAGGACCAGATAGAGGACATGGTCCGGAAGGGATATTTGAAAAAATACATCGCGGATCACCGCGAGAAAAAAGAATCCGAGAGGTCAGCAAAGGACCCTCGGCAGGACCTTGATTTCCCCCGGAAAAACAGTAAAAAGCCGGAGGGGAAATTCCCTCCGATCAATGTTATCTCGGGAGGAATATACTCGCGGAGGGAGCACAAGCGCCACCTTAGAGCTTTGACTCACCAGGTGAACAACGCTGACATTCAATCTCCCCAGTCGCCGGTGCCGAACATGACGTTCACAGCCGCCGACTGCCGGGGGATCACGTTCCCTCATGAGGATCCGTTGGTGATCATCGCCACGGTGGCCAACCACGACGTCAGTAAGGTCCTTGTTGACGGTGGCAGTGGAGCAAACATTCTGTTCCGAAAGGCCTACAATCAAATTAAGCTGAAGCCCAAGCACCTTACGCCGCTACCCTATCCGGTATCCGGGTTCAATGGGGCTTCAACTTATCCAGATGGGAAGGTGACACTTCCTATCACCATCGGTTGCGATGAGGCAGCCCGGAATGTCATGATTGAATTTTTGGTCATCGACGCTCCTTCAGTGTACAACGTGATTTTGGGGAGACCCATAATTCACGAGATCCAAGGGGTCGTCTCAACTTATCATCAGCTGATGATTTACGTCTCAGACGCCGGCTTCCCCGAAAGGATACAGGGCAACCAAAAGGACGCCCGAAGGTGCAACTACCTCAAGCCATCCAGTAGTCACCCAGATGACGACAAGGATGAGGAGGGGAAAGGAAAAGAAAGAGAGCCAAGCACAAAAAAGCCGAAAGGCCTAAGTGCTTCGGCCCAAGGATCCGTGCCCAGAGAAAAAGGGCCCGAAAGGGAAAAGGCTAGCTCTTCAGCTGAGCCGCAAGACTCAGAGAGCCAGCCGAAGAACACAAAGACTGGGACACCTGCTGACATTGGCAGCAGACCAGATTCTGAAGAGTCCAGTCCATCGGCAATGGACATGGACCAACAGACTGAAACAGTTGAGTTGGCCGAAGGAGATGCTGAGAAATGTGTAACAATCGGGATGGACCTTGATCCTAACACCCGTTGTGAACTTATTCAGCTCCTTCGGGATAACAGAGATGTGTTTGCTTTCTCGGCAGCTGATATGCCCGGGATAAGTTCAGACCTCATCTCCCATAAGCTTAATGTTGACCCAACGTGTCGACCAATTAAGCAAAAGAAGCGGAATTACTCCGCCAATAAGAACCGAGACATCGCAGCCGAAGTCAAAAAATTATTGGAGGCAGGATTCATTGAACCTTGCCAATATCCAGAATGGCTGGCAAATGTGGTGATGGTTCAGAAGCCCAATGGTACCTGGAGGATGTGCGTTGACTTCACGGACCTAAATAAGGCTTGTCCAAAGGATTTCTATCCCTTGCCGAGAATCGATCAGCTAGTCGATTCGACAAGTGGCCATGCCTTGCTTAGCTTCATGGACGCATTCTCGGGGTATCATCAGATCTTTATGCACCCCGACGATCGAGCCAAGACAGCATTCGTCACGAACGCTGGGGTATACAATTACAAAATGATGCCCTTCGGATTGAAAAATGCGGGAGCAACCTATCAAAGGCTGGTGGATCAAGTTTTCGCCGATCAAAAGGGCCGAAACATGGAAGTCTATGTTGACGATTCAATCGTCAAAAGCAAAAAAACTAGAGGACCATGTAAAGGACCTGGCTGAAACTTTCGCCACCTTGAGAAAGCATCAAATGAAGCTGAATCCGAAGAAGTGTGTCTTCGGCGTGAAGTCAGGGAAATTCCTGGGGTTCATGGTCAGCAAAAGGGGGATTGATGCCAATCCCTCTAAAGTCAAAGCGACGCTCGACCTTCCTGAGCCGAAAACGAAGCGGGATGTTCAGCGGCTCACCTGAAGAATGGCAGCCCTCTCGAGGTTCATTTCCAGAGCTTCGGATAAGGGGTTACCCTTCTTCAAAGCCCTGAAACTCCCGAAAACAAAAGAGCTTGTTTGGGAGGAAGAGCAAAAAGACGCCTTTCAACAGCTTCGGGAGCATCTGGCTCGACTCCCAACGCTGGCTAGCCCAGCTGAAGGAGAAACTTTATACCTATATGTGGCCGTTAGCCCGGCCACCATCAGCGCAGTATTGCTGAGGGAAGAGAGTAAGAGTCAACAACCGATCTATTTCGTGAGTCATACACTGACGGATGCCGAGACCCGCTATCCTCTACTCGAGAAAGTTGCTTTCGCGGTAGTAGTAGCTGCTCGGAAGCTGAGGCCCTATTTTGATTGCCATCAGATAGTGGTCTTAACTGATCAGCCGTTGGAAAAAGTTCTCGGCAAGGTTGAAAAATCCGGTAGGCTAGCCAAGTGGGCTTTTGAGCTCACCGAATTCAGCATCAGCTACCGTCCGAGGGCTGCCATTAAGGCTCAAGCCCTAGCGGATTTCTTGGCCGAATGCTCATACCAAGAAGCGCTGGACAGTGAAAAGAAAGTCTGGACCGTGTTTACGGATGGGTCTTCCACCGAAAACGGTTCGGGGGCAGG